AAAATTTAACATAGCTCCTTTATCCCACCAATTTTTAAAGAGATTACACATGCAAAGAGTTTTTAAAAAATAATTAATTTAATGTGGTCTCCATTTTTCATGGTATTAATGTCATCTTTCCAGTGTTGCATAAAGCACATTGTGATATGGAGATTTTTCCCCGTATTACGTTTCATGAAGATCTGGAGGTTTGTGATTTTCTTTCTGACTGAAATCATATACTTGAGCTATACAAATGACACACATATAAATAATATGATTCTGTTCTTACCACTCGGGGACAGTGTTTCTTTCACACATTTTACCCCGGGGAAGCATTTTAAGACTTTCGGACAGTGGCCAGTGGGCAGAGACGTAGCTGTGGCAGATGGTACATATGTCACGGGACCCAAGACAAACTGGGGGCACCAAAATGGGATTTGATGGTATTTAATGTTTGAAATTAATTAGCTTCAGTTAACATTTTTTTTGGGGGGGGGGGCGTAAAAAAATAATCACGTCCCCTGACGCCAAAAACTCCAGCTACACCCCTTTCATGGGCGTAGAAAGGGGAAGGCTGAGGTTGTTCACCCAGGTGTCACATTCTCTTTATATGAAGGTGCGGCATTTTCGGACAACTGCAAAGTTTGTATCGTGAAAGGGAGAGCGTCAATATTTTTTTCAGATAAATTACAAATGTCCACTTAGATATGCCTTAAAAACATTGTCCGCACTTATCAAACAGAATTTATTTTATATTGAAAAATTAAGAATAAGAATTTATTCTAAAACAAAGACTATAAAATGGAATTAGCATGATAATCGAAATGCTAGTTCACAAAAATCTTCTCATCTTTAAGCTTTTTGATAGATTCTCATCTAGAGTAGATATTATTTTTTTTTTAAATCAGTGATGATGATTGATTACTTTTATAGTGCTTGTGTCCATGCAAATAGATTGGGAAATTTGTTTATTATACCGATAATAAAAAGACAAAAGCAACTAGGAATTTAATAAATATATTTTTTTTTTTGAACATCTGTTATTCGGGAAACTTTGATACTAAAGTAGCACAGTAAAAACACAACAAAAACGCTTTCGATATAATAAATGATAAGCCCTCTAAATTCTTAATTTAATATATATGTATATATATAATATATATATATATATATATATATATTAAAGCTTCCATTTCTTATAACGCAACATTAATGGACTCGAATACATTTATAATTATGCTATTAAATATATTTTAAAAGCCTAATGCCATCATACAATTTATAATTAACTTGCATCCCAACTTTAAAAGTAATGCTTTTATAATGAAATACAATTTGAAAATAAATTGTGTAACAGACCAAGTTGGCTGTTGGGTCTGTTACAGATTGCTTATGTTTGATACTTTGCAAGAACTAGTATTAGAGTTGTAGATATTAATTTTAAGGTAGTTTAAACAAATTTTATTAAAGTCTTTTAATTTGTGCTAAAAATAACAATATGTGCGGACAATAGGAGTAAGACATCGGCTTTTCAACATGAACGGCCAGTACGATATTTATAATCGAATACTTTAAGCCTTTAACAAGATTATCCTTAAGTCTACAGAGCGTAGCGATATTTCATATATTCCACTACTTGAAATCGGATAAAGGCAACATAAACTCTCCTTTTGAAAACTGTTTTTTTTTAGATTCATTCGTTCTTAATTTTAAAAAAATAATTATATAATCGTTATATTGTTGTACATATTTTTGCCCGGATCACGCGCATTGTTATAGCTGATTATTCTCATTACTTTAAAAAAAAAATTCTTGCAGCTTTTTAAAATCTACTTTCATTTATTCCTCTACAATATTTGAGTTGACATTACTTATGTGTAGACGGAAGGTTTGGCTCAACCTAATCGATCACAACAGCCGTCTTAGTATCTTGTGGGCAACATATGTTACACAAATAACACTATCAGTCCATGGTGGATTAAACTCTTTCAATTCGTTTATTTACCCGTTGTACATCGGGGGCGTCTATCCTCCCTGAGTAGAAGAAGCCCTCCCCCGATCCCCCAGACATAGGTTTGGTAAATTGTATATAAAGAGCACGGAACATGACATCAAGAACCTCTCTTTACCTCCACTCCGGAAATCCAATCTTTCTAAAAGAGAATCACTTGCACTCTCTAAGCTGCGCAGTCGGAAAGATATCGTCATCAAACCAGCTGATAAGGGGGGAGCTGTTGTGGTGTGGGACAGAGATCTCTACATCAAGGAGGCTCATAGGCAACTAGAAGACATTCAGTTCTACCAACCGAGGACCAACAATCCTATCACCAAACATAACGACATGGTGAAAAAGACTATCAAGAAAATGATTGCAGAATCGGCGCTCCCAACATCGGCCTCTGCCCTACACATCTTCGATAGTGACCTCGGTAAGCCGTGCTTCTACCTACTTCCCAAAATTCATAAGTATGGTAACCCTGGCAGACCCATTGTCTCAGCATACTCTTGCCCCACCGAACATATCTCGGAATTTTTTTATGGAGTTTTTCACACCATCGTTGCCTCACTGCCTACTTACATTAAGGACACCAACCATGCTCTACAAACCTTTAAATCCATCATAATCCCTCCTGAAAAGAAACATCATCTATTTCTTCTTGATGTATGTTCTCTATACACTTCCATCCCCGACACTGACGGTCTCTTAGCTCTCAAATTCTTTCTCGAGACCAGACCCCACCCATCTATACCCACCAACACCCTCCTCAGATTGGCTGAACTAGTCCTCACCCTCAATTCGTTTGAGTTTGGTGGCCAATTCTTCGACCAAATCAGTGGTGTTTCTATGGGGACTAAAATGGGACCCAGCTATGCTTGCTTGTTCATGGGGATTTCGAACACATGGTCGAAAGCAGCTATACTGGACGCCTCCCTGAATTCTATAAGAGGTACATAGATGATGGTATAGGGTCACCACTATGGAGAGGAGTGAACTTGACCTGTTCATTAACTTTGTAGGCTCCTTTCACCCCTCCATTAAATTCACATCTCTTATCTCTGAGACCTCAGTCGATTTCTTAGACATTACAGTCACTCTTCACAAAGACACCCTACTCACCTCTGCCTACTTTAAGCCCACTGACAACCACAGCTATCTACTCTACTCTTCATCCCACCCTAAATCCTGTAAAGACTCTATTCCTTTCTCTCAATTACTTCGTCTTCGTTGACTTTGTCGGTCGGATGAGGACTTTTGGGACAAAGCACTAGAAAAGAAAAATGTTTTTCCGGTGAAGTTCCTACTCGGAAACAGTACTTCGTCAGCCCTCCAATGGGTTAAGAATATTACACGTGCTGATACCTTCAGAACACGTCTGAGCGACAATGTTGACAGGACAAAACTCATTATAACTTATCACCATCACAATCTGATTGCTAAACGTGTTTTCCTTAAACATCGACCTATACTACTCGCAGACACCGACACACGAGAAATTTTCTCTTCCCCACCTCTCATTGTTTTCCGACGGTCTGACAGACCTCCTTGTACGCAGTCGTATCAATGCTCCCTCCTCCCACTTTTGGACCAAGCCGTGTGGACTCAGTCGTTGCAACACTTGCCCTTTTGTCGTCCAGACACAACACATACGTTTCCCTAAGGGCAGTTTTCAGATACGCGACGGTTTCCTCTGTACAAGCCGCAACGTTATCTACGCCATTGTCTGCAACCGCTGTCAGATGACGTACATAGGGGAGACTGGACGCCGTCTCTCTGACAGGTGTACCGAAAACCTCCGAAACATTACACAAGATAAACAGTATCCCGTCTCCAAACACTTCAATAGTGGTGACCACCAGGGCAAGGCGGACTTTTTAATAAGTGCGATTGTGGCTAGCACGAAACGAACACCGCCATCCGGGTCAATTTGGAACACAGACTTATCCTGACTTACGGCACTTTGACAACAGATGGGATTAATGTTATGTCTCTGTTCACAGCTTGACCCTAGCTCCGCCCCTCCACGTTCCGACCTATCACAGTACTCTTTTCTCTCCCTTTTTTTTAGGCGCTGCATATTTAAACTCTCACTCACTTTCCTTCTGCCACATTTGCTGCCCACAGATACTACTTACCAGCTAAGTGCTATTTCTTATTTGTATTTTTATACCTTTTTTCTATTGTTTTGTTCGCTGACGAAGGCTTTCTGCCGACACGTTCGCTGTTTTGTTGCGTTTATTTTTTCAGGTTTAACCCTACTCTGTTTTACTCATTTTATTTTGTACTAACCTGACTGCAGTCTCTCCCCTTATTACCCCTATTGATTTTTGATGCGCTAGTTCACTGGGAAATTTAGTGTTACAAAAATGTACAGTTAAATATTGTAAGAACATTGAGGACTGTATAATAATAACATTGATGATAAACCATGTCCCTTTTTTCAGCAAATTAAATTATCAAATCCTATGATTCTTATAAAAATATATAATGAATTTTATTAGGCCTATAATTTTTACTTCGGTTTAAAAGTTTTAAATTCGTTGATTGGTTAAATAGGTCGGCGTGGCTATATGCCTAAACACTTGTTCTATATTAAGAGTTTGCAATTCAAATCCCCACCTAAGCCTGGCAGTTAATCTAGATATTCTTTTCCTTTGAAAATCCTTACTTATTTAAAAGAGCTTAAACAATTATTGGCTTATATTTATTATGTGCAACATGTTTGAAATTTAAAAAAAATAATTCTGGATGAGAATCTATCACACAGCTAAAAAAAAAAGAAAGAGTTTTATAGACTACCATATCGACTATAAGATTATTTTATTGTGGCGGACGTAGACTGTGTATTGCTCGAAACATTTGAGAGCACATTTTTATTTCAAATTCAGTGTTTCTATTCAGTGGGGATAACGTGGGGATCGATACCTTGTGAGTTCTGCGCCTTGTTAGAATCGCGTCATGTTTTCAAACGAAATAGTTATTCGGTCACTCAACTGCTAAGGGCATTCGATACTTATTAAACGAAGCGCTCGTGTTCAAAAATGTTAAACTCTCTCTCTGATGACAAGAGTGACCAAGATGCTGGTACGATTTAAAGCCATCTTGTTTGCGATCTTTTAAATTTATGTTATTATATATTCACTGACTTAATGAACTGCTGTATTGTGTTGTGTATTGTGTTGAAGAAAGTGAGCTATTGTTCTATATAGGCGCGCAACCAGCACTATATTTTATTACAGAGAAAAGTGTAGAGTTCAATGAGATTGTGTTCCGTTTTGTCTAAGTGAAGTTTATCCGATAAATCATTTGAACAAACTATGCAACGATCCACAGAGAAATGTTTTTGTTTTGTTAGTGCCCAAGTATAATACCACAGGAGTGCTTATTAGAAAATGTCGAAAACAATTAATAGTTTAATTAATTAGCAGTTCTAGTTTATAATTTATTTTTTTTTGATGTGCAATAAACATTTTTGGATGCAACATTCACGACCTCATGTTCACTAGTAATGTTTCTTTTATTCCTACTTATATCAAACTGTAGAAATGCCCAAAAAGCAGACAGAAAAGTTTTGTGTTATTGATTCTCATTGTTGGCCAGTTCCTGGTCATAGGAGGTATACTGAAGCATTTTGTTTTCATGTAAGTATTTAAAGCAAAACTATATGATTTTTGTGATTGAAAAAAAATTATAGAAAAGCCCAATAAATAAATATATATATATATATATATATATATATATATATATATATATATATATATATATGAGATCGTAAGAACTATATGATTTTTGTGATTGAAAAAAAATTATAGAAAAGCCCAATAAATAAATATATATATATATATATATATATATATATATATATATATATATATATATGCACAACAGGATTGTTCTAAAGTTCTACAGACGTGAAAGTTTTCAAACATTAAGGAACCACTTCCTTAAGTACTTAAGTACCATTAAGTACTTCATCAATGAAAGCCTTTACGGTGTGCAAGAATGCGGTGTTGCCAACTAAAAGCCGCCTGCTTGTGTTTCATGGAGTGCCGCAACGTCTTAAAACTTTTAACGGACTTACAGCGCTTTGGAACCCATTATATATATATATATACACACATATAATACACAAATGATTGTACAGATGTGTTACACACTTCAATAAAGTTGACGCAAGTGATACTTTGACAAAAACAAATTTTAATGCAATGTTCCATTGCAATTAAACTTGTCATGTTTTGCAAATCAGTTTAACACATTTCAAATACTTCATTATTCTTTCATGATTTAATTTGAGAACAACTGTTGTTGTTTTTTTAATACAATGTCAACAAGTCTGAACATTAAAATATTGATTTTATTATGGTTTGTCGTCGAGAATCCTTTAAATTTGGGATTAAATTTTATAACAAATACTTAAGCTTGTCTGTAAAGGTATTTGATCTGATGTGCAGAGAAAGATTATCGTATGGACAGACCGATATATTTATATTACATCTGTTTAGGTTATTATTATTTTTAATCCTGTATACTAACTTTGCTTTTGTTCGTGTGTTTCTTTTTGTCTGGGTGTGTGGCAAAATATCCAGATGACTAATTGTCCCGCTTTCCGTCAATGCATCGAGCTGAGAATAGGCTCGTTGTCGATTACTACACACTATTTCAAATTATCAGCCGCACCTCCCAACCCCAAAACACAAAAGTAAGTTTTTTCCTATTCAAAGCGAAGATGAAGCAAATATGATGCCAATGATTTAAATAAAATTCCCGATAATAGCACTACGTGAGATTCTTTTTAAAAAAACAACAATAAATGCTAACGCGTATGATGCATAATATTTACTTTTGTTTTTATAAATCAGTTGTTAAAATAAATCTGCGGTGTAAAAATGGGCGTGTCGTAAGAAAATTAATCTAGTTCAGGGGCGTGAAAAAATGTGCGGTTGCGAACCTATGGAGGGGTTGGGGGGGGGGGGGACTATTTAAGATTCAAAATAAGTGCGTTACTTAAATGCATGTTTTGTCAAAGTTTTAGTACCATCCCCCCCCCTCCTGCTCGATATTACATTTTATAAAGGATTTCTACGAGACATATTGTTTTCAAGGGTTGTTTAATATCCGAAGAACTGTATTTCTGAACAAAGGCTTAAGTAAAACGGTGACAACATTATGTAATAAGTCACAATTATGGAGATGTAATGTTGAGTACGCTTAAGTAATTTTGATAACGAAAAAATTCTTTGACAAGTTTGATGTCATGCATGTCTTCCCACCCACAAACAAAAGCTATGCCCCTCCTCCCCCCCCCCCCCCCCACAACCCTGCCAATTTCTATTCTTAATATTTGTACTTATTTTCTGTGGGTTGAAGATTGTCAGAAATGTTCGAATAAAGAAATCGTTATTTTAAAATAAAACAGTTTGTATTACATGTTTATTTGATATTTTCCTATCTGTAGATATCGATTACAACTTTGTTAATAATTTAGGAATTAGCCCAGATTTTGGGCACGACTCAAATTTTTAAAGTAAGTATTGCCATTTATATACTTAAAATACCCCTCGGTGTAAAATTCAATCAAACCCCATATCCATGGTCGTCATTTGGTTAGGGCATTTGCAACCCCCCGCCCCCTTTTTCATGAATTTGAAAGTTTTATTTAAATTGCGATATACAGTGGCGCTTCCAGTAATAAACACCTTAACAAGCAAACCAAGTTTTGGTTTTGCCCCACCCCTGCCCCCCTCCCACTTCATAAAACCTTCAATGTCAATCCTGCCTATATCATACAACCTGATTGCTAAATCAACCCGTTGACTCTATATCACTATTCTAATAATTTTTTTATTTATTTTTTTATCCTCCTGTAAACACAAGTGACACATTCGATACGACACGTGACATGAATAAAGGCAGAAATGATAAATCCCTGTATGTGCCCACTTCGAACACAACAGTAAGTAGAACATAATGAATACAGACTGGCACATCTTAGAGTAACCTCATTTTGATGCTCAATGTACATTTAAACTCTAAACGACGTAAAGATCAATGTAATACTTTTTAAAATAACTTTCATACCAACAAGTTTTCTTTTTAACAACGCAAAAGCTCGCCAACATTTAAAATCGACATTCAAAATATAAAAAAATTGAAACTCATGCAAATATCGTTCCGCTCGATATCAAACTTCTAAGTTCAGAAAGTTCTCAGGAGCAGATTATTTCTCATGTTTGAATGAATTGCACAGGGGATTATGACTTATCTTTACATTACACACATTTATTGATTATTATTTTACTAAACCCTAGTGTGTGGATGTTTCTGGACAGTAACGGGTTGGGATTACGTAGAAAACGAGGAAATTTGTGTCATTTATTCACAAATGCAATCCTCTTGCATATTTATTGCAAATAGCCAGTCGTTATGTTTACGGTGAGGACATTTCACAGCGCTATAACCGGCAAACAGATACAGTGCTGTCGTGGCTTATTTCAAAAAAATATTTGTAAATTCACTACCTATGGAATTTTTTTTTTCAAAGTACATAAAAGGATTATACATATATACAAACAAATATATATATATATTATATTTTTAATCACAATCACAAATTCACTTAATCTAGTCCCATTCCAACAGTTTATAGCTCACTAACCTCAAGACATATAAAAATACTTTTATTTACAAATGGAATCATCTATCTTCCTGCTTTGGTGCAATGCCAAAGCTGTTTAAACGGAATATTGTAAGACGCCGCTGTAATTCGAACCCTTTTTAAAATCCGCGCGATGTTTATTTATTTATTTAGGCATTTTTATATAGCGCTTATCATAAAGCTCTAAGCGCTTTACAATTATTAAAACATGTAAACTAAGTAAATACAAATGAGACACTAGGATATTAACTACTATTCTATAGAAACAATGGGGTCCCATTGTCGACAAAAATGACAAATATAACTCTAGTCAGGTGGTTCTACACTTTTTTCTACTCTTTCGCAGCAACGAGCAAGTACATCAACAGTAGAAGATGATTGTCACTACAACCAATCTGCCCCATCCATGCAATTCAAGGCTGTCTATTCTCTGTCTCAGCAGGTAAACTAAGCCTGTATCAAGGAACAGTTGAGGTGATCACACTTGACGCATTTGCGTCTATTGCCCCAGGCCTTCCAACCCCCTAACTGAGCAGCCCTTGCAACCAGTGAAATCTCCTCTTCAAATTAAGGTCCAGAAACAATGCAAATCCACTCTATATACGTATGAGACAAAATGATCAATACATTGATCGTGGGCCCGTAATACATAGAAGAAGAAATAATTTAGAATTGTTTAAAGTTAAAGGAATGCTCAGACATAAAGTCTCAGTAAAAAAAAAATTGCACAATACCATGTCCTCATGATTTTTGTTTTTTAAACTAATCAGTAGCATCAGAAAACACTGTCCCATCACATTTGCTCTTCTTTGAATATGCGAATAGTTAATCCAATGAATGAACACCTTTTCTTAACGTTTTCAAACACTCGTTTCAAACCACCAACTAAAAAACCCATCTTTAAAAAAATAAAAAAATTAAAAGCATAAAATCTTATTTAAAACGGATTTAGTTACATCACAATTCGTTTGATAGATGTATGATCTGTATCCTCTTTGTTAAAAAACTATCTAAGGTGACCCCTCATTTCTTACCAAATTACAAAAACCCATGTTGGATGGACGGACCTGGGGAGCAGAGACTGATGTGTGTTCCGTATGTTTTCCTCATAGGTAAACTGATTGAACTCATTCTAAGCTTGAAATAGTTTAAAGATTACACAAAACACGTAGCTTTATGAAGACATAGACTTTATTTGTATTAATTTCTTTGGTAGTTCGAGTCCTAAAAAAAAAACCAATTATTTTCCATCTCTTTAGTGTTTAAACATTTGTGCGCAAACTCTTTGTTGACTAGACCATGTCCAAATAACAACATGCATAACGCAAACATTTACCAACGAGTGTCCAGGTAAAATGTCATTAAAGCAATCTTATTTTTAGGCGTACCGAAATGTGGGACCACAGATTTATACTCACGAATTGTTGCCCACCCTATGATCGTGCCGCCCAGACTAAAAGAACCAAACTTCCTCTCCAGGGGCGTCTTCTGGACAAACAAGTGCAAACAAGGTGCCATTTATAACAGTGAGTGCTTTTATAACAGCAGAGTTTTTGTACAGTAGAGTGGACGTTTCCCTAAGATTAGAGTTTATGGTTTCACTAATATTAGAGTTGAGGTTTACTTAAAATTAGAGTTGAGTTTACTCTAACATTAGAATTGAGATTTGTCTAACATTAGAGTTTAGGGTTCTCTTAAATTAGAGTTGAGGTTTCTCCAACATTAAAATTGAGGATTCTCTAAAATGAGAGTTGGGGTTTTTCTAATATCAGCGTTTAGATTTTTCTAACAAAAAAGTTTAGTGTTGTTTTTAAAGAGAAGTTCTGGATTTACTCTCTTGTTGTTGTGTCCTCTGATGAAGGTTTTGTGCCGAACCGTCCTTTGGGTTTGTCTTTTGTCTTGTCTCGGGCTTTCGCATACCATGTCCTTTTCATATTTTACGTGACCTGAACCAAGACTACGTTGGGCAGGACATGTTGAAAGGATGCCGGAGTGTAGAGCTGCACAAGTTAGATACAGGCAGATATACACCAGTTGGGGGTTCGCACATGGTGGCTGAAAGCCATGGATCGCTCCGAATGGAAGGTTGTGGTGGAGCAGGCCGGGCCCTACATGGTCTGTAGCGCCACAGATGATGATGTCGAACCGAGTCTCGATTTCTCTACTATATTGTCCATTTTTTTTTTTTCCATTTAGACCAGCGGATCTCAGCCCCTTTGTGGGATTGAACGACCCTGACACAGGGGTCACCTAAGACCACCGGAAAACACATATTTATCTAGTAGCAACGAATTATAGTATGGTTGGGGGTCACCACGACATGAGGAACTGTATTACAGGGTAGCAGCATTAGGAATGCTAGGAACCACTGATTTAGACTGTTTCTTCACAACTCCAGCGTCATTATGATCCTGTCTGGGAATGGGGGATGGGGGTTTGTTTACTTATTAAAAATCATTTATACTTGTGTCGTCGACGAATTGCTGCATAGTTTTAATCACATAATGAAAATATTTAACTACCTACACGATATCTAGAATCTAGATAGATGTTGTTTTAATTAAATATCCTACTAAAATATTCAAATCATCCGACGTATCTGTGGGATTGTTTCCCTTTGTGTTTACATTTTTGTTTCCCTTTTAAATCCTTTCTATTAACTTTGCTTTTCTGTGTTTATGGCAAAATCTTCGGAAAGCTAACAGGCCCACTTCCCGTCAAGTTATAGAGCTTAAACTTTCCTCATTGACTCGTTGCCAATGACAACACATTCTTTCAAATTTCCAGGCCCACCTTTAACCCCAACATACATCAATGTTACCTGTTTTTTTAAGGGGATGCTGAAGGAAATATGACTCCACTGATTTTACGAAATACAATTCCCAATATCTGTTCTAACTGAGATTCGTAAAACTTCGCAAGTGCGTTTGATGAGTAATATTTTCTTTTGTTTTCCTGAAATAGTTGGTGTAATTAATCTGCGGTGTGCAAGCGGTTGAGACTTTAGAATATTAATGTAAAATAAAATAATACAAAATGTAAAAAAAAAGGATATTTTTCGAAAATCTTTTCTTTTTTTTTCTTTTTTTTTTTCCGGGGGGGGGGGGGGGGGGGGTCTTTTATTTTTTTTTTTTTTTTTTTTGGGGGGGGGGGGGGGGAGGGTCCATTTCGATTACAGTATTTTAAATAGCAGTATGTGTATTTTGTATAATCAGTGAAGCCTATGTGTTATATTATATAAAGAAGAGGTTATATATAAGTTAGTATTCTTATCCACCATTTGTATCTACAGTCACTGCAAGCTGTGTCATCCATCAATTTGCAGAGCTGTACTTTCAAAGAGCCTCCGTAGACATACGTAACAACTTCAAATGGTCGGAAGAGAGCGACCGAGGTAAACCAAACATTGGACTAAACTTTTATTATGTATTAGAAAACATTACCCCGGTTTTATCGAGATAATAGTGGTAGGCATTTTGCGATAATGTCTACCTGCCATTAGGAAAACTCATCACAATTCCTTATTTTCAAAAGGAGTTTCTATTTAATGACTTATACGTTTCTAACATCATTAAAAGTTTAAGAAGCATTTTTTCTGATATTTTTTTTATAAGCAGACCCGTTCCATTTTGTGAGGCCTTAAACTACATTTTTTTCTTTTTAAACATGACCTTAAAATAACAAATCTAAATGATCACTAATTAAATCAATATTTAAAAAAAAGGAGTTCATTAACGAATGATTTAGAGAAATACTTTAGATGTCTTGTGTTTTTCAAATTGTAAAATGTTGGGCCTACCGTAATATTCCTGCCCCTAAACTAATTATATTTTTTAGGAAAGTGGGGGGGGGGGGGGGGTTGGTAAAAATTGTAAAAACTTAATGTTACATTTACAACAAAAACTCTACATACCATTTTAAATATATTTTGTATTAGCGGAATTTGATACACTGATATCTTTATTAAAATTGAACTAAACTTTTGCCTTTTTTCCTACTGTACTATTGGAAAATCATAAAACAAAGAATTATTTGATCTAAAGAAGAAACTCCTAAAAGTTTTTCATGTCTGTAACAGCCTTGAGTGTCTTTTCTTTAACAATGTTATTAATCTCATAACCAGATACACCAACTTATATATATTTTTTAAATAATTTTGAAAGAAAATCTTGACACATTTCTATTTTTCAAAATTAAATTTTCACGTGTGTTAAATTACTGGGTTTTGATATTCATAGTTATACTTTTGTAAATTATGTGCCCACGTATTATTATCGCCATTGATTTATTTTTTTTTATTGGAAAGCATGTGTTTATTTGTAAACGATTAAAATTTGTAACATCTCTTTTTCACAACTGCAATTTCATTAGATTTAAAGATCTCATCCACGTAAAAATGTACACATAATATTTCCAACACCTGATATATGTGTCCCTAAGAAGATTACTTATTTATCAAATTCATTCCTTTATTCTGAGGCGTATCTTGTGCTACCTTGGGCAAAATGAAATTATCGACCACACCCCTCCCAGATTTTAATAAAAATTAATATAATCACTCATGGAAATGTAGCCCTAAGTACAAATACACACATTTGTTTCACTTCATATGGTTTGTTATTATTTGGATGAGTGATAGTTGCACTAGTGAATGCCATTTGGCTATATTTAAAGGTTAAGTTTTGACTACTTTATAGTTTAAATTAATAAAAGTATCTTTGGAATAACTTTTTAAATGTTAAGCATAAAAAGCTAAATGTGTGTGTGTTTTAATGAAACTTTAAAAATCAATCAAATTTTTGAATTAGAATTTTATTTTTCAAGAAAGGGAAAATACATTATCAGCTTTTTTTTTCTTTCACGCGCGGTTATTAAATCAAATATACTTTATAGTTGTAAATTAATAAAAGTATTTTTGGAATAACTTTTTAAATGTTAAGCATAAAAAGCTAAATGTGTGTGTGTTTTAATGAAACTTTAAAAATCAATCAAATTTTTGAATTAGAATTTTATTTTTCAAGAAAGGGAAAATACATTATCAGCTTTTTTTTTCTTTCACGCGCGGTTATTAAATCAAATATACTTTATAGTTGTAAATTAATAAAAGTATTTTTGGAATAACTTTTTAAATGTTAAGCATAAAAAGATAAATGTGTGTGTGTTTTAATGAAACTTTAAAAAGCAATCAAATTTTTGAATTAGAATTTTATTTTTCAAGAAAGGGAAAATACATTATCAGCTTTTTTTTTCTTTCACGCGCGGTTATTAAATCAAATAAATTTAGAGCTTTGGCTAAAATTGGAAATATGCGCTCAGACATCATTTGCGTTTTTTTTAGAACAAATACATTTTAATTTTATTTCTCAATATTAACAACGCACTAAAATGAACAGACTCTTGGTCTTTCCAGATAAATATAATTGCGATAAAATTCTTAGATTATAATTATTTTCACAACTTTCAAACTCGGATAAAATGCTTAAAATAGTTCCTTTATTGATATTTTAAATGTATTTGTAATTTATAATATTAATACTTATAATTTTTTTTTAAAATAAAAGCGGATAATTTTGTTTTTCGCATTTAAATAGAAAAATCCCTATAATTGTTTTTAAGAAGCCAGGACATAGACAGATGCTTTGCAGTCTTAAAGAGAATACTCTCCGACTCCAAGGAGCAGTACACTCGTAAGCGTGGTCAACAGTGTGTCTATGTTCTTCTTCATGGTTTAGCTGGGACACAAATATCAGATTCCAAAGCTTTAATTTTCGTTTGAAAAGCAACAACAATTGTCATAGAATTATTTTAGCGCTAATCAGATAGTTTAATATTTGCACCATCTAGAATGGGTGAACAAAAGTAATTTATTTATCGTTTTATTTGAACTCGGTGCCAACACTTTTTGAAAACCCCATTGACCTTCTCTGTAACTGGTACAGCGACAGTGAACTCTTCATATGATGCTATGGTCCTCTACTTTAAGGACAAGTTCAAGGATGAATGGAAGGTCATCAAAGAGAACGCAACCCGCAAAATTGAGAACCCAATAATAGCATGTAGGTAGCAACTAATTATCGCATTTAGGTAGCCACTAATAACAGCATGTAGGCGTAGCAATTAATGATAGCATCTAGGTAAGACAATGATATCTCGTTAGTAGCAAACAATGATACCAATAGCTTAGCAAATTGATAGTTTGTATGTAGCATTTAACAATAGTATTAGGTAGCAACTCATAATAGCATTTAGGTAGCAACATGATATCAAGTAGGTAACATCTAGTTATAGTATAAAGTAGCAATTAGTAAAAGTGTTAGATACCACCCTATAGTAGTATTTAGGTAGCACCTACAAATGGTATCAAGGTTTCAATTATTATAGCATGCTTGCACATTCGTTTAGATTTCTTATCAAATGATATAATTTGTTAGAAAAATAAACGTTTTTCAAATAATCAAATTTATTCATTAATCTAAAAATTTCTAAAAATAAAATCAGTTGTCAGCAAATGGCCTTGAAAAAAATAAAAGAAAACAGGGCCCCCCTCCCCTGCCCCCCCCCCCAACTCCCCGAAACCACCAATAAAGAAAACGTGTAGAATAATGCTGAACTGCATTCGGAATGAAAATTAATGACGTAACTGTTAGCAAACCGTTAATTACAATACTGCTGTGTGATCAATGAGGCTCTATACATTTGTTCCCAATTGTCCAGAGCAAATATCCTTAACAAATCCACAGAAGCAGTTGGGATACCGCGCTATATTAAACCACTAATGATAATAATGAGACTTCTTATGTGTACCCATGGATTATATATATATATATATATATATATATACATATATATATATTTAATATATCAAAAGTGGACAGCAGTGCGTCATATTCATGGGACAATAACTACTGGGAGCTGGTCGCCGAGAACACCGGTTGTACTGAACCCGCATATTTAACCTCTGACCTTCTGGCTAAAGTTAATCCCAAGGCGAAGATTATGATGCTAATGAGAGAACCCGTGTCAAGGTTGGTTCCGGCTGGTGATAGCTTAAAGTTATTTTGCCCATGCCCATTTGGTTATCGGCCATTTGGATATTTGCAATTTAGTTATTAGCCATTTGGTTATTTGCCATTTGGTTTTTTGCCATTTGGTTATTTGCCATTTTGGTTATTTGCTATTTGGTTATGAGCCATTTTGATTTTTGCCATTTGTTTACTACTCATTTTGGTTATTTGCCATTTGGTTATTTGCCATTTGGTTATTAGCCATTTGGTTATTTGCCATTTGGTTATTTTTTATTTAGTTATTAGCCGTTTGGTTAATTGCAATTTGATTATTTGACATTTGGTTATATGACATTTTGTTTATTTGAATTTGATTATTAGCCATTTTTGGTTATGAGCCATTTGTTTTTTTTTTGTCATTTGGTAATTTGACATTTCGTTATTGGCTATTTGGTTATTAACCATTTGGTTATTTGCAATTTGGTTGTATACCATTTGGCTATTGACAATTTGGTTATTGACAATTCGGTCATTAGCCATTTGGTTATTTGCAATTCCGTTATTTGCTATTTGTTTTTTTGCCGTTTCGTTGTTTTCCAATTGGTTATTCTCCTTTTTGTTTCTAGCCATTTGGTTACTTGCCATTGTATTATTACCCATTTGGCTATTAGCCATTTGGTTACTTCACATTTGTTTTTTTTTTCCATCTGGTTATTGGCTATTTTTCGTAAAATAACATTAAGTTGTAACACTTTATATCGTTTTGTTCACCACAAGAAGAAATAAATGAAGGGACTGCTTTCAAGCTATGTAAATGAATGAAATAGTGAAACGAGGTATGTGGAAGCTTGAAATAAGGTAACAGGACAAAAAACAAGGACGTTTATGCCGAAACGTCCTTGTTTTTTGTCACCTTATTTCAAGCTTCCACATACCTCGTTTCACTATTCCATTCATTGTTCACCACAGCAGCACACGCTCAAAACGTTTTCTTTTAAAACAGGGCGTTCTCTGACTACTTGTACTTTCAAAGGCGTATGAACAAGGAACAAAGCCTGGACCAGTTTCACAACTGGACAGTCAACTTCATTACAAAGTTTGAAAGCTGCAGGCGGCACAATTCTCTTCGGTACTGCACCTATGTTGATGTGCGCTTTCGAACAGGGGTCTTCGTAAGTCAAGGGTTAATAATATTATTTTTAATTTAGCTTACTGAATTTTTTTATACTGCGTTTTTTTTTTCAATCCAAATCCAAGTCCATTTAAAAGTCTGAGTAAATCCTTGTTTGTCTAGCGATGTACTATACTTATGGCTTTACTAGTGAAGATATTTGACATGCGCAGAAAGTACGCAATGATATATTATCTTGAAACTAATGCAGTGCTGCTCAACATTCTCTGCCAAGCAAAGACAGCTATAAAAAGGGGCTGAAATTTAGCAATGTAAGACAATCCTTTCAATTTTGTATTACCAATCCCTTTCCATATGTGTGTTGACTTAATAAAAAATATATCAATGATCACAGCATTTATCTACGCAACTGGTAAACAAAACCAAGAAATGGTTTGGATTCTAATTATTGGGAATTTTTATTATAACTTTCACAAATTAAGCTTAACCTTATCTTCACAATCGCATTTGACGAAAACCCTATTATGAAACTACTTTCCGTTATTCCTCCCTTTAAAGTAAGTTGGTATAAAATGAGGCCTTGGGGATTCTTACCAACCCCAAAAAAAATTTTAATAAAGTTTATTTGGCATAACACGCATCGTTGTTCTCCGATCAACAATTATAACCTTTAGCACACATGTTTGTTGTTTACGCCATTGTAACCATAAGTTCAGCGACAACTGTGGGCACCTGTTGGCTTGCAATATTTCTTAACTACCTGCTGCAAAAAAAACAAAAAACAGCTGGATTGGACCCTCAGCAATGAAAATGCGTTATAAATATAATTAAAATAGAATACTTTCTTAAAGTTTGATGTTGATTTAAAGCCGGGGTGTTCATCTGCCGCAGGACAGAGCTCGCCTTGAGCTTGGACTCTATCACGTGCACATCACCGAGTGGTTCAAGAGATTTCCGAGAGACCAGTTCTTATTTCTTCGCTCCGAGACCTACAGTTCTGATCCTGTTTCAACCCTGAGGCGCGTCTACGATTTCCTTGGTGTGGGTAGGTTGCTTAAGTCATTGTCTCTTATCGTTCCGTATAGAGATGTATTGGGGTCAAGGTAACATTCCTGGGTAGTGGGTAAGTTGCTTGTGTATCTTCCTGTTATCGTTCTGTATAGAGATGTTGAGTTGCCAAGATAATATTTTTAAGTGTGGTTAAGTTGTTTTTTAACTCCATTTCCTCCGTTGGAAATTTTTTTATACATTAACTTGAGGGTTATTACACAAGTTCCAGGGGCAGAGATTACGGTACTGATGTCTATTTTATAATTTGAAATGAATGTCCTGAAAGAATGTCGTTTTTGTATGGTCTTATCACCCCAGCTCAGCTGAGCCAAGAAGCCATGGACGCTATCACAAACACCACCAGGATCAACCAGACGAGCAGGAAGAAAGATCTTGGCAACATGTGGCCGGAAACCAAGACTTTACTGACCAAATTCTACTCTGAACATATTCAAAAACTGTCCCAACTTCTCGGTGACGACAGTTTCACATGGCGAGACATCTTAGACCATAACCAATCTAATTGATTTTATACATTTGATTTAGAAAACTATATACAAATCCTAAAAGCATTTAAATTTGTATTTCATATTTACATCTAAGCATAATATTTAGAGCTATAGTCTGCGTGATAACTAGCGTTGTTGTTGTTTTCTGTTATGTATTACTATAAAATGGAGTTCAAACAGCCACATAAGGACATACTGTGGTAAATTTAACAATGATTTATTCAGAGCCAGAGAAGTCTCCCATGATTCCCCATTTAAATATTTTCAAACAGTTTAAATCTGTAAGAAGTGTGATAGCGGGTCGAAGACCTTGTCCAAAACTATGTTCTTACATGAAATGATTCTGTCCAAGAAATGTATCTGTAACACCTCAAATATTAACATAATGAATTGTTTTGTATTATGGATTGTTTTTGCAATTTATGATTAACAGGAAGTTAAAATAATAATAAGAAGAATAATAATAAAGTTCATTTCAAAAACACGCTTCATCCCCAAAGGCTCGAAGCGCGGTACAAAGTCAACAAAAAACATATCTATAATTTACCACATTTAAAACAAACGCAACACTACAAAAACTAATTACAAGCATACAATCTCAAAGTCCTTCTAGCCATTTCAACCCGGAGCAACACAGCCATTATTCATTAACTGGAAAATTAGGCAGACAATCATCCCAGAAGGTATTTGCGAATATATGAATGTGTCATGCTCAGAAGTATGAGTAGACAGGAAGAGAGACGATTCAATTAAGGAAGGGCTCTGGCCGTGTTTAATGTATATCTCATAGCATCGTGATAGTTATATAACAAATTTGAGTGAATTGTGTATATGAAGTAACAAGGCAATGACAATTATGTTTCCGCCAGCTAAAGAGATTTATTTTATACAATGTGAAATCAATAATAAAAAATTGTGATGTGATTCACTGGCATTTGGCCCCATGCTTTTTACGATAAGTATTGGAATGATAATTAGGAGTGCAGAGTAGGCAAACGCAGGAGGAAGAATCACATTAGACAATACATATAATACTACAACATCAACGTTATAATTAACAGTTGTTATTACAGTATCATTGGTCATAATGTTCGGCTAAAGTTGGAATCTACCACTCCTGTTAAGGGCTTCTCTGGAAATGAGAGGACGTCATGGTCAGTTAGAGGGGCTTTGGGAGTTATCTGTCCATACTTTGATAGCAAGTAGGGCATTACGCGAGACGAAGGTAGATATAGGATATAAACAGTATATAGAGACATGGCGGAGGCACTATAGAAATAGTATCATAACATGGCAGAGGTAGGACAGAAACAATATATAGAGACATGGCAGAGGCACTATAGAAATAGTATCATGACATGGCAGAGGTAGGATAGAAACAATATATAGAGACATGGCGGAGGCAGGATGTAGCAGCATAGATGCATGGGAGGGACAGGATAGAGACATGACAGAGGCATGATAGAGTCAAGATAAATATGGGATTAAGCCAGGACATAGACATAATTTAGACATGTTAAAAGCAGGATAGAGAATTATGAAGACGGTGTAGAGAAAGGTTAGGGACAGGATAGTCACACGATAGAGACGGGATTTAGACAGGATATAGTCTAGATACAGACAGGATACCGACATAACAGAGGCATTACGTGAAGAAACTTCATTTTTGTTAATAATCATTAAGGATGACAAGACTTAAGATATGGTTCATTTAAGTGTAATTAAGTTAACAAAAGCGTTAAGTAAAAGGTTTCAAAAGCTGAAAATACAAAAGCGGTGCATATCAAGCGTTCTATTAAAACATCCAACATACATCACGCATGTTCCTATTGGCTATGGCATAAAGTGTACAGAAAGAGGGCACGCTCGGTAACAAAAGCAAAAATGGAAAAAGAGATAGATCAAACGCCCTATCTCCCCGCCTAACATGTTATGGTATATGCGTGTAACCATCAAGCAACAGTTAAAACTTTGAGAACAACCGTGATTTATGAAGAACTGGTACAGTGCAAGATTACAGGTTGATGACTGACCCTCGAAAAAGAGTCAACTATTGACAATAATTTCAAAAAACATATCTATTAACAAATTTAAAAATAAATTACAATTCGCCAGATGCAAATTAATTAAAAATTAGTTTACAATGTTAACTCAATTTAACTTGATATATTCTGGTTCAAAAATTAATTTTTTGTTATTTTTTTTGTAAAAAAAAACTGGCTGTAAGGGCCTGAATTTATTTTTATCAAGGTGTGCCCCTCCACCATATAGCCGGTACAAATACGCAGAGAGACAGGCCGGGGTCAACCGTTCCACACCCCCCCCCACCAATCCGATATGGTCTACTAGTGGCAGGACTAAGTTCTTTCTTTTATGTTGACCATAAGATTAAAACTCTGCCCCCCCCCCCCAAACCCTGGGAAGTTTGCCCTATTGAAATATTTGTTGCCTTATTTCAATGTTACAACTGGCCAATCCATAATATCTCAAACGTAAGAAAGCTTGGCAATTTTAGAACATATCAACTTCGTAACGTGACCATTCAGAGAACTAAAGTCACATTCGGTGATGTGGGTGCGAGTTTGGGGGGGGGGGGTAGTGATGGCAAAGGAGGATATTTCCACTTAATGAAAGACACATTCATGGCCAACCTACCTCTCTCCTGCACATAACAAATAATGAAAACTCTAACCTTGCATGACCCCCATTGTTTTTACCTGTCTCTGATTGAGTAATATCAGAGATTCAGTTTCAGAGGCGGTTTCAGAGCGGTGGGAACAAAGTTCATGTTGATAGAAACCGCATAAAAAAATTATTAAGATGTTACATAAATTAAGTATTCATCATGTTTTGAGAGATTAAGAAAAGATTATCCTGCATACAGTTTTAAGTTGGTAATCAATACTCTTGCACTTCACCGCGCCCCCAATTATGGTTTTTGTACCCGCCGCTGAATACAATGCTCATCCGCCACCCACGCACATACAGACAACCCCAGGTAGTGGACTCACCGTCCCAGAATGGAAGCAGAGATGACATCACACCTATTCATAGACATGAAGTGATGAGCCATTTGAGAGTATATATATATAGCAGGGAACTCCACAGGTTGGTATGAGTACCCTTAATAAGTGCACACGATTTCTTGATTCTAAAACCAAGGCAGAATAAATTGCTCAATTCTCTAAAGAGGATTTTTTTTTTAAATTTGTCACTCCACATCATTACAGTGAGTTGAAAGAAATTTTTGAATCCAACTTCAAGCGATAACGCGTTGTTTGATCTCATCACCGCCCCTGGACTCCCGTCAACCTGATACTGTGGACGGATTGTGATTGACCCTGACGGCGAGTGAGTAATTTCATTTTATTTGTTAAATCCTGTTAATTCTATCAGATTCTTGATTGGTCTTGACTGACAATGGCCATTAGCTTTCTAACAACGTGTATTTCAATTGATATATTTATATCGTACACTTTTTTTTAAATTGTATTATTTAAAGAGGTCTCGTTGTTTTCTCATACGGCTATAGAAAATTTCTTTAGGATCTCGTAGTAATGGAATTTGGTTATATAATTTAGGTAATATTTTTAGTTTATTTGAAATTTAAATATTTAAAAAGGTAGAAGTTTAATAAAGTTTATTTTTATTTTTCTTGCTATCCAAGAAGATTATGACATAAACATGTTTGATTTATGTTACTTGCCAACTTTAAATCTAAAATAATATCATCAATATCTACACTCATGAATGTAGAAGAAACGGACAAAGTGCCGCAGTTAATGTCGGAGCCAGCCGGAGTGGGCAAAGTTCATTACCAACCCCCTTTTATGGAAATAAATCTGAAATTGGAAAGAAATGCCGCCCATGAACATGAAGAAAATAGTGCCGCCCATGACGTACCTGCCCCCTCCCCCCTTTCCTTTTCCATCAAAGCTTCCCATGTCAATAAACGGGTAATATATTTTTTTTAGCGCATAAGGGATACTCATTTTTTTTGTTGGTAGTTAATTATCGAGTTTTAAAACGTATGACAATCCCTTGTAAATATGTTTGTTGTTTTTTCCCCCCCCCCCCCCCAGTGATGAAGTTGTTGCCATGTTTAGCAAATATCAGACCAGTGTTGCCAGACGACTGAAGAAACAGGAAGCTTTGGTCATGCTCATGAATGAGTTCGCCTTAAACGAAATCGAGGCTCAAATTTTCTTCCAAATCTTCGACAAGGACCGAAACGAAGTGTTGAGCCTCTGGGAGTTCCGGCAGTTATACCAGAAAGTCGGGGCAAAGTAAGTACTGAAATGTCTATCACAGGGCTAGGAAATTGATTTTGTTAAAATTTTGCAAACGTAGGATTCATAATTCATTCAGCATGCCAACTGTCTACAGCTTATAAGTTATAACTCTACATTACAACGCTTTTAAAGGTTCTTTATTGTTTTGTATTTGGTCTTCTGAGTGCAGTATTAAAATAAAAGCTCATGGTGCAACGTCTTGCATGCTTTCCATTTGCTGCCAACACTTGGAGTATTTGATAGTTATATGGGAGTTACGGCAATTCTTTTAGAAGTTTGGAATCAAAAGATAACTACATTGTCTACAATACCAATGGACATTTATGCGTGTCTTTCAAGGTGGTCTGTTAGATGGTAGAGCTTATCATGTCGTCCTTAAGACCTAAATTATTGATGAAATAAAGTTGTTTCAGCATTTTGCCTTTTCTTTGTGGACACCGAGGAACTACAGAAATGTTCTTTAACTTTGTTTGAAACTTTGAAGTTAGATTAAACGGGACTGTCATTAAAACATTTGGATTAAGTGTTTCCGTCGTGCTTTCCACAAGCAACTTGATATCCGCATTAAAGAAAAGTGCTTTTTTTTTAATGTACTTAAATAACACAGATTTGACTCTCTCCAAAGAATTTAACCTTATATTTTGAAATTCCGTCCATTTCTCCCATCCAATCCAACCGCCTTTACTTATTACCCTCAGAGCCCATGAAATTATTTCCATCTCCCCATTAACTCTACCACCTTACTTGTTAACCTCAGGGCCCATGAAATGATTCAACTTTTTCACAAACTGGAGGAGCCTGCCACCGGGTATGTGGACATTTGGAGAACCTTCGACGCACTGACACACGTGGACAGTGGGAAGGGCAAGCTGACCGAGGACGAGATAGTCACGTTTCTTCAGACGACAGCAAGGAACTCAAAGACCATCGACCTGCATACATTTCTAAACATGATGAGCAGAATCAAGGTTTACACGGGCAGAGTTTAAGAATTGCGAAACAACAAAATTAATTAACATACGGGTAAACATACAATTTACGGTAGAATAATTTGTGTTACGAAAACTTACTGGTAATAAAACGACATTTCCTCATCCCATTGATAATGAGATATGATCGAGTGAATGGTAATTTCGAATGAAGGCCTGTTTTTTGTTGACTTTGTACCGCGCTTCGAGCCTTTGGGGATGAAGCGTGTTTTTGAAATGAACTTTATTATTATTATTATTATTATTATTATATTTTTTTAAGTGACTATAATTTTGTGGAGAAAAAGAAAAAGTCTAATTATGACGTGACTGCAAGACATAGTTAGAATTGAAAAGTTCTGAATTGTACTTCCATTTGTCATTGCTAAATAAGTATATATATATATATATATATATATATATATATATATATATGAAATTGTGTACATAAAATTAATTTAACTACAAACCTGTGAATATTTCCACGTACTCCAAAGCGACATTCCATGATCATGCTTTTCGAAGATCTCAGGCCGATTTCTAATCGTCCTCTCTTAATTTTAACATCTCTGCTGTTCTTTTAAATGCAATGTTTTGTGCAATGGTAATTTGTGGTAAAATGTGATTTGAGATTTAGAATGATTGTCAAAACAGCCCAACTAACGACATTGGTCGCGTTACTGGCCGTACAGCCCATCTAACGACATTGGTCGCGTTACTGGCCGTACAGCTCATCTAACGACATTGGTCGCGTTACTGGCCGTACAGCCCAACTAACAACATTGGTCGCGTTACTGGCCGTACAGCCCATCTAACGACATTGGTCGCATTACTGGCCGTACAGCCCATCTAACGACATTGGTCGCGTTACTGGCCGTACAGCCCAACTAACAACATTGGTCGCGTTAATTGCCGTACAGCCCAACTAACAACATTGGTCACGTTACTGGCCGTACAACCCAACTAACAACATTGGTCACGTTACTGGCCATACAGCCCAACTAACAACATGGGTCACGCTACTGGCCGTACAGCCCAACTAACAACATTGGTCGCGTTACTGGCCGTACAGCCCAACTAACAACATTGGTCAGGTTTCTGGCCGTACAGCCAAACTAACAATATTGGTCACGTTACTGGCCGTACAGCCCAACTAACAATATTGGTCACGTTACTGGCCGTACAGCCCAACTAACAATATTGGTCGCGTTACTGGCCTTACAGCCCAACTAGCAACATTGGTCGCGTTACTGGCCGTACAGCCCAACTAACGACATTGGTCGCGTTACTGGCCGGATGTTTCGTCTATTCACATACACTATTTTGTTGGCAATAGCACCATCCACATTTAAATAAAAGCGCTTTATTTCTTGAAGAAGCTCTTCTTTCCCGCAGATGTCCACTTTTTTTCTAAAGACGAAGCAAGTTTAATCTTAAGTGTTTAGAAACCGTCATTGAATTGCAGGTCTAACAACCAAACATGTTGGGGCAGTAAATGAAATCTGCACTTCTGTAGCCAAAACTATATTACTCGGAAGACCAGCAAGTTCAAGGATTGATTCCTGTTTGTCGGCACTGGGAGAATGTAAATTAAGCACAAGGGAAATTTGCAACAACAACAACAAAAATCATAGCGGGAATCATGCATGTGTCCAAATTAAAAATGAATTTGAACGTTTTTATTGATTTTAATTTGGCATTGCTAGGGTGATCCAGGATGATAATTATGTGACACTATTTTTCATTCCCTTTCACCATTACTTAAATATATTTATATTTGAATCATCTTATGTTATGACACTAGTCTTTGTTCATGCACTTTTATTGAGATAATTTTTTCAAAGTTACATTTACATCAGTCGAAATAATTCAAACTAAGGCTTAACCGGTCAATTTTTTACACTGGGTCAGGTGTATTTTGACAGTCCTACACCCTACCAACCGACCTTTAAACAATAGTCATACCGACAGTTCTACACCCTACCAACTGGCCTTTAAATAATAGTCCTGACGACAGTCCATTACCCTACCAACCGGCCTTTATACAATAGTCATACAGACGTTCCTACACCTTACCAACCGGCCTTTAAACAATAGTCCCACCGAGAGTCCTACACAATTCTAGTGGCTCTTAATTATTATAATAATCACCTCACGCGTCACTGATTGCCTCCTGTTTTTTCGCTCAGCACTATATTATAAAACATGTGGAGTTGGGGGGGGGGGGCGGGGTTCGAAGGGGAAGCAAGACACCCCAGAAGCGAAACAAATTATTAGTGAAGAGATGTTAAAAAAAATTCAAAAACAAAAGATAACGTCTACATAGTTTTACCGCATCCAAAATAATAAAAACAATAGTCCCACCGAAAGTCCTACACAATTCTAGTGGCTCTTAATTTTTATAATAAGCACCTCCCCCGTCACTGATTGCCTCCTGTTTTTTCGCTCAGCACTATATTATAAAACATGTGGAGTTGGGGGGGGGGGGGCGGAGTTCGAAGAGGAAGCAAGACACTCCAGAAGCGAAACAAATTATTAGTGAAGAGATGTTAAAATAAATTCAAAAGCAAAAGATAACGTCTACATAGTTTTACCGCATCCAAAATAATAAGAGGAACAAACAATTATTATTATTGTTAAGAATTATATTATATTACACATACATTTATATCGAATTCTAACGCTCAAAGTCTTTTAAAAAACGTACCATTGGAACAGCTTTCTATTTTTTTTTACTGGTTCTCAAAATTTATGTCGTGTTTTTGAAAAAGATTCATAACTTATCTCACAGCTGTACGTAAATTAAAAAACCATTGGGTTGAAACATTTCTTGATGTACGAGCTGCCAAACCAGGGCCAGTCTCTGTCTACAATGGTCTTTAAAATATTAGTAGGCGCTATTAAGAATTGAACTAATCATGCGTGGCCATGAACTGAACTTAAAAGGAACAAATATATTTTTTTCTTCTTAGCTTTATCAATTTGTAAAAGTGTCTTTAAAAACTTTTTTATTAAAATGATGCACCGATTTGCATAGCATTCAATAATAAGGAGACAAAATTAGCCAGAGCACGATCTTGTGGAAAGTACCTTTTGTGGGAAGAAAAACTTTTGGAGTCTTGTTTTAAGACCTATAATCGCTATTTTAAAAATTGAAAAGATCAGTTCTAGTAATGGAAGTACTTATAAAGTCCTCTACCATGAAAAAGTGTGTTGTTTAGACTTATTAGATCCCAACTTAAATCAGATCGGTTGCGTGTCTTTTAGTGGTCCCCTGCCACTTGAATGCTATTTTAAACAATAAAAAAATATTAGTAATTTGATTCCACGTCAAAAGTTAGGACTCTCTAAAATAACTGAGGTCCCCTGAACCCGAAATGTTGTACCATAGCCCAGAAGATTCTATCCAAAAAACATTTTTTTTTTTTTTAAAAAGTTGCTATTAAAATCTCCATAATATACTTACAATTTATTTGCATTTCATTGTGCTCACTATTCAATCTTTCTTGCTGTTTCGCGATAATCTGTACCACGGACATGTAAAATGATATCTTGCCTTTGCACTAAACATTCCTATACTTTTGGTTTCAACGGCTAACACTACTGTTTATTTTAATACACTATTAAAGACATGCTTTTTTTTATCCGCTTCCAACGATATTGCAGTTTTGACTTTATTCTTCCTCATTTAATATCTCACGTCTGTATACCGTAGTTAAGATATCGTGAACTTGGAGTTACTTTAGGATTAAACGTCTTTCAATCTATCAAACGTGATGGCTTTTGTTTCTCTTTCTCTAGGGCTCAGCATTTTAACTTAAAATTAAGTTCTTCAAAATTTAACATAGCTCCTTTATCCCACCAATTTTTAAAGAGATTACACATGCAAAGAGTTTTTAAAAAAAATAATTTATTGAATGTATTCTCCGTTTTTCATCGTATTATTGTCATCTTTCCAGTGTTGCATAAAGGACATTGTGATATGGGGACTTTTCCCCGTATTACGTTTCATGAAGATCTGGAAGTTTTTGATTTTCTTTCTGACTGAAATCATATACTTGAGCTATACAAATGACACACATATAAATAATATGATTCTGTTCGTACCACTCGGGGGCAGTGTTTCTTTCACAGATTTTACCCCGGGGGAGCATTTTAAGACTTTCGGAGGTGGGAGCAGTGCCAATGGCCATTGGGCAGTGGCCAGAGACGTAGGTGTGGCAGATGGTACATACGTTCCGGGACCCAAGACAAGCTGGCGCACCAAAATGGGAGTTGATGGTATTTAATGTTTGAAATTGATTAGCTTCAGTTAAGATTTTCGGGGGGGGGGGGGGGGGTAAAAAAAACACCCCTTTCATGGGCGTAGAAAGGGGAAGGCTGAGGTTGTTCACCCAGGTGTCACATTCTCTTTATATGAAGGTGCGGCATTTTCGGACAACTGCAAAGTTTGTATCGTGAAAGGGAGAGCGTCAAAATTTTTTTCAGATAAATTACAAATGTCCACTTAGATATGCCTTAAAAACATTGTCCGCACTTATCAAACAGAATTTATTTTAAATTGAAAAATTAAGAATAAGAATTTATTCTAAAACAAGTACTATAAAATGGAATTAGCATGATAATCGAAATGCTAGTTCACAAAAATCTTCTATTCTTTAAGCTTTTTGATAGATTCTCATCTAGAGTAGATATTATTTTTTTTAAAAATCAGTGATGATGATTGATTACTTTTATAGTGCTTGTGTCCATGCAAATAGATTGGGAAATTTGTTTATTATTCCGATAATATAAAGACAAAAGCAACTAGGAATGTAATAAATATAGGCAAATTATTTTGTTTGAACATCTGCTCAGGAAGCTTTGATACTAAAGTAGCACATTAAAAAACTACAAAAAACGCTTTCGGTATAATAAATGACGAAATGGACACGATTTGTATAGCCCTCTAAATTCTTAATTTAAGATATATATATATATATTATATAATATATATGTATATATATATTAAAGCTTCAACTTTATATAACGCAACATTCATGGATTCGAGTACATGTATAATTATGCTATTAAACATATTTTAAAAGCCTAATGCCAACATACAATTTATAACTAACATGCATCCCTAATTTAAAAGTAATTCTTTTATAATGAAATATAATTTGAAAATAGATTGTGTAACAGACCAAGTTGGCTGTTGGTCTGTTACAGATTGCTTATGTTTGATACTTTGCAAGCACTAGTATTAGAGTTGTAGATATTGACTTAAAGGTAGTTTAAAGCAATGTTTTTAAAGTCTTTTAATTTGTGAAGTTGCAAAAAAAAAAAAGAAAAAGAAAAAGAATAAAAATAAAAATAACAATATGTGCGGACAATAGGAAGTAAGACATCGGCTTTTCAACATGAACGGCCAGTACGATATTTATAATCGAATACTTTAAGCCTTTAAAAAGATTAACCTTAAGTCTACAGAGCGTAGCGATATTTCATATATTCCACTACTTGAAATCGGCTCAAGGCAACATAAACTCTCCTTTTGAAAACTGTTTAAAAAAAAAATCATTCGTTCTTAATTTTAAAAAAAATAATTATATAATCGTTATATTGCTGTACACATTTTTGCCCGGATCACTCGCATTGATAAGCTGATTATTCTCATTACATTAAAAAAAAATCTTGCAGCTTTTTAAAATCTGCTTTAATTTATTCTTCTACACGTTTTGAATTGACACATTACTTATGTGTAGACGGAAGGTTTGGCTCAACCTCATCGATCACAACAGCCGTCTAGTTCTTTGTGGGCAACGCGTGTTACACAAAGCTCGTGTTCAAAAACGTTAAATTGTTTCTCTGATGACAAGAGTGACCAAGATGCTGGTATGACTTAAAGCCATCTTGTGTGTGATATATTAAATATATATTATTATATTTTCTTAATGAACTTAATTGACTTAATGAACTGCTGTATTTATTTGTGTTGAAGAAAGTGAATAATTATTGTTCATATAGGCGCGCAACCAGCACTATAGTTTATTACAGAGAAAAGTGTAGAGTTCAATGATTATTGTGTTCCGTTTTGTCTAAGTGAAGTTTATCCGATAAATCATTTGAACAAACTATGCAACGACCCACAGAGAAATGTGCTGTCTTTTTAAAAATGTTTTTTGTTTTGTTTCGTTTGTGCCCAAGTATAATACCACAGGAATCTTATTAGGAAATGTCGAAAAATCTTAATAGTTTAATTAATTAACAGTTCTAATTTTTTGATGTTCAATAAACTATTTTAGATGCAACATTCACGACCTCATGTTCACTATTAATTTTTCTTTTAAATCCTACTAATATCAAACTATAGAAATGCCCAAAAAGCAGACAAAAAAGTCGCGTGTTATTGATTCTCATTGTTGGCCAGTTCCTGGTCATAGGAGGTATGCTGAAGCATTGTGTTTTCAGGTAAGTATTTTTTTAAAAGTACATGATTTTTGTGATTTAACTTAAATTTATAGAAAAGCCACAGAAAAAAATAAATATATGCACAACAGGATTGTTCTAAATTTCTACAGACGTGAACATTTTCAACAGTAAGGTCCCAAGTACTTCATCTATGAAAGCCTTTACGGTGTGCAAGAATGTGGTGTTGCCAACTAAAGGCCGCCTGCTTGTGTTTCGTGGAGTGACGCAACGTCATAAAACTTTTAACGTACTCACGGCGCTTTGGAACCCATTATATATATAATACAAAAATGATTGTAAAGATGTGTTCCACACTTCAATAAAGCTCCCCGCAAGTGATACTTTGACGAAAAACAAATTTTAATACAAGATTCTATGGCAATGAAACTTATCATATCTTGCTTATCAGTTTAAAACATTACAAATATTTCTTCATTCTTACATGCCATAATTTGAGAACAACTTTTTTTTTAATACAATGTACACATGACTAAACATTTTTAATATTTTAGTGAAGGGAGAATGGGTTGTCGTTGAGAATCCTTTAAATTGGGGATTCAATTTTTATAATAAATACTTCAGCTTGACTGTGAAGGTATTTCACGTGACGTTCAGAGAAAGATTATCCTATGGGCAGACCGATATATTTGTATGACAGTTGTTTAGGTTATTATTATTTTTAATCCTCTTTACTAACTTCGCTTCAGTTCGTGTGTTTCTTTCTGTCTGGATGTGTGGCAAAATCTTCAGATGCCTAATTGTCCCGCTTTCTGTTTGCGTATCGAGCTGAACATATCTTCTTCTTCTTCTATATCTTAAGGGCCCACGATCAATTTATTGATCATTTTGGCTCCTATGCATGTAGATGGGATTTGCAATGTTTCTGTCACTGTTGGTGATGAGGAAATCATGCACTAGGGGTTTGAAGGCTTGAGGCAATAGACACACATGTGTCTAGTGTTGTCGCCTCAACCGTTCCTTTTGAAAGATTGTTCCAGTCCCTGATTGTCTTGGGCAGGAATGAGCAGCTCCTATACTGGCTTCTTGCTGGTATGAGCCTGAATTGCTTGTCATGGCCTCGTCGGGACGAGTTTCTGTTTAATACTGGAACAGTGGACCAGCCCATTATTTATCTTGTACATCATCGAGAGCCTGGATTGTCGTCGTCGTTTCTCCAATGGTGACCAGCCTAGTGTTTCTAGCATGCTGCCAACACTAGAGGTATTCCTGTAGCGGTTTAGGACAAAGCGTGCTGCTCGTCGCTGGACCGCCTCCAACCTGTCAATGCTCTTCTGGGTAAATGGGTCCCAGACTGAAGATGCATAATCTAAAATCGGACGGATAAAGGCTTTATATGCTCTTTCTTTCACACAGGAGTTGCCAATCTTTAGATTTCGCCTTAAGAACCCTAGGGTCTTGTTTGCTTGGTTACATACATTGTTAATATGTTCATCCCATCGGACCTCTCTTTGAATGGTAACACCCAGGTACTTTACGGAGGAAACTTGCTCAAGAATATGGCCGTGCAGTTCGTATTGGTAGTGTAGAGGAGTACAACTTCTAGAGATTGATAGTGTCTGGCACTTGGCAGGGTGAAATTCCATGTCCCAGCTCATGCAGATAGGTTCGTTGTCGACGATTACTATTTCAAACTATCAGCCGCACCTCCCAACCCCAACCCCAAAAACTAAGTTTTTTCCTGTTCAAAGCGAAGATGAAGCAAACAGGGCGCCAATGATTTAACAAACCAAAACCTCCGATAACTGCACTACGTGAGATTTTACGTGTGATTCTAAGTGAGATTCTACGTGAGATTCTACGTGAGATTCTACTTGAGATTCTACTTGAGATTCTACGTGAGATGCTACATGAGATGCTACGTGAGATTCTACTTGAGATTCTACGTGAGATTCTACGTGTGATTCTAAGTGAGATTCTACATGAGATTCTACGTGAGATTCTACTTGAGATTCTACGTGAGATTCTACTTGAGATTCTACGTGAGATGCTACGTGAGATGCTACGTGAGATTCTACATGAGATTCTTTTTCAAAAAAATATCGCATGTGCGTATGATGCATAATATTTACTTTTGTTTTTTTCTAAATTAGTTGGTGTGATAAATCTGCGGTGTACAAATGGCGTGCATCGTAAGAAAATTAATCTAGTTCAGGGGCGTGAAAAAAATGAGCGGTTGCGAACCTATGGAGGGGTTTGGGGGGGGGGGACTATTTAAGATTCTTATCAAGTGCGTTACTTGAATGCATGTTTTGTCAAAGTTTTAGTTCCACCCCCCCCCCTCGTGCTCGATATTACATTTTATAAAGGATTTCTACGAGACATATTGTTTTTAAGGGTTGTTTAATATCCGAAGAACAGTATTTCTGAACACAAGATTAGGTACAATGGTGACAACATTATATAATAAGTCACAAATATGGATATGTATTGTTGATTACACATAAGTAATTTTGATAACGGAAAGATTCTTTGACAAGTTTGATGTCATTCATTTCTTCCCACGCACAAACAAAAGCTAAGCCCCTCCCCCCTCTACCCTGCCAATATCTATTCTTAATATGTGTACTTATTTCCTGTGGGTTGCAGATTGTCAGAAATGTTCAATAAAAAAACCGTTAATTTACAATAAAACAATTTATTTTTTATGTAAAATTGATACTTTCCTATCTGAAGATATCGATTATCTCTTTGTTACAAATTTAGGAATTAGCCCAGATTTTGGCACGACACACATTTTTAAAGTTACTATTGCAACTTATATACTTAAAATACCCCTCGGTGTAAAATAAAATCAAACCCCATATCAAGGGTCGTCATTTAGTTAGGGCATTTGCAACACCCCCCCCCCTTTTCCTAAATTTGAAAGTTTTATTTAAATTGCGATATACAGTGGCGCTTTCAGTAATAAACAACTTAACAAGCCAACCAAGTTTTGGTTTTGCCCCACCCCTGCCCCCCTCCCACTTCAAAAAACCTTCAATGTCAATCCTGCCTATATCATACAACCTGATTTCTAAAACAACCCGTTGACTCTGTATCGTTATTCTAATATTTTTTTTCATTTCTTTTTTTATCCTCCTGTAAACACAAGTGACACATTCGATACGACACGTGACATGAATGAAGGCAGAAATGATAAATCCCTGTATCTGCACACTTCGAACACAACAGTAAGTAGAGCACAAGGAATACAGACTGGCACATCTTAGATTAACCTCATTTTGATGCGCAATGTACATCTAAACTCTAAACGACACATAGATCAATGAATTACTTTTTAAAATAACTTTTATACTACAAGTTTTTTTTTTAACAAAGCCAAAGCTCGCCAACACCCAAAATCGACATTCAAAATATATAATAAACGAAAAATGCACATATCGTTCCGATCGATATCAAACGTCAATGTTCAGAGAGTTCACAGGATCAGATTATTTCTCATGTTTGAATGAACGGCTTTATTCAACTGCCCCTGGAGATTATGATTTATCTTTACAATACACTTATTTATTGATTACTAGATAGAGCCCGCCAAACATTGGAGACAGCAATGCGTGAACTTCTCATCTAGTAAAGTTACTTGACAAAACATGAACTTAAGAAATGCACATTTAAGAATCCCAATATTTGCTACACCCCTTCGCCCATGATACGTCACTGCACACTTTTTGTTTCATGCCCATGAACTATATTAATATTCTGATGTCCCAACCACATTTAAACCGAATATTTTTTACACAATAATTAAATTGAGACGAGTTCATTTCCGAAAAGAAAATAATATATATATATATATATATATATATATATATATATATATCTTTTAGCGTAGATATCGGAAATAAAATTTTGCGCACTAGTGAGCTCATTATTTATCCACACTCTGGCGTATCTATATATAGCGTGAGTGGTAGTGTTTAACTTTTGCTTGCGAATTATATATATATATATCATTTAGCGTAGTTATCGGGAATAAAATTTTGCGCACTAGTGAGCTCATTATTTAACCACAATCTGGCGTATCTATATATAGCCTGAGTGGTAGTGTTTGACCTTTGCTTGCGAATTATATATATAAATTATTTTGCTAGAGCAAAATGTGTGGATGTTTGTGGACAGTAAGCTGTTGGGATTAAATAGAAAACCAGGACATTTGTGACATTTATTCACAAATGCAAACCGTTTGCATATTGATTGCAAATAGCCAGTCGTTATGTTTATGGTTAGGACATTTAACCTCGCTATAACCGGCAAACAGATACAGTGCTGTCGTGGCTTATTTATAAAAAAATATTTGAAAAAATTCATTACCTGTTGAAATTTTTTTCAAAGCAAATAAAAAGACTATACATATATACATATAAATATATACTTTTTATCACAATCACAAATTCACTTAATCTAGTCCCATTTCAACAGTTTATAGCTCACTAACTTCAAGACTATAGAAATACTTTTATTTACAAACTGAATCATCTATCTTCCTGCTTTAGGGTAATCCCGAAGCTGTTTAAAAGGAAAATTGTAAGACGCCGCTGTAATTCCTTCTTTTTTTTTTAAATCCGCGATATGTTTGGAGTCATACTGTCGACAAATATGACAAAAATAATTCTAGTCACGTGATTCTCTATGTTATTCTATTCTTACGCAGCAACGAGAAAATACATCAACAGTTGAAGATGATTGTCACTACAACCAATCTGCCCCATCCATGAAATCCAAGGCTGTCTATTCTCTGTCTCACCAGGTAATCTAGACTAAAATATACATTTATATAAAAAATAATTTCGATTGATTTAAAGCAATGCTGAGACGTAATGTCTCACGAGAAAGAAATAGCACGCTCGTCACCTCCTTATTATTATTTATTTTTAAACACTAGTCAGTAGCATGAGAAAACGCTTTCCCAGCACATTTTCTCTTCTTTGAATGTACGAATAGTTAATCCAATGAATGAACGACACATCGCCCTTGCTAAACCTTTACAAACACATGCTTTAAACCCAACTCCAAAAACTATCTTTAAAAAAAAAGAAGAACATTCCTAAAATCTTACTTGAACCGGAATTAGTTATGTAACGAAAAATATTGTTTTTATCAATCTGTGATCAGTATTGTTAAATAATGTTCTAAGGTGACCCCTCAGTTCCTACCAAATTACAAAAACCCATGTTGGATGGACGGACCTGGGGAGCAGAGACTGATGTGTGTCCCTTATGTTTTCCTCATAGGTAAACTGATTGAACTCATTCTAAGCAGTTTAAGTTGTACATAAAACACGTAACTCTATGAGGACCTAAACTTTATTTGTTTTAATTTCTTTGGTAGTTAGAGTCTCTCTCTCACCCTGTTTTAGGCACTCCTCCTCCTCTGTTTTATGCACTCCTCCTCATCTGTTTTAGGCACTCCTCCTCATCTGTTTTAGGCACTCCTCCTCCTCTGTTTTAGGCACTCCTCCTCCTCTGTTTTAGGCACTCCTCCTCCTCTGTTTTAGGCACTCCTCCTCCTCTGTTTTAGGCACTCCTCCTCCTCTGTTTTAGGCATCTGTTTTAGGCTTTCCTCCTCCTCTGTTTTAGGCACTCCTCCTCCTCTGTTTTAGGCACTCCTCCTCCTCTGTTTTAGGCACTCCTCCTCCTCTGTTTTAGGCACTCCTCCTCCTCTGTTTTATGCACTCCTCCTCATCTGTTTTAGGCACTCCTCCTCATCTGTTTTAGGCACTCCTCCTCCTCTGTTTTAGGCACTCCTCCTCATCTGTTTTAGGCACTCCTCCTCCTCTGTTTTAGGCACTCCTCCTCATCTGTTTTAGGCACTCCTCCTCATCTGTTTTAGGCACTCCTCCTCCTTTGTTTTAGGCACTCCTCATCTGTTTTAGGCACTCCTCCTCATCTGTTTTAGGCACTCCTCCTCCTCTGTTTTAGGCACTCCTGAATGTCCACATTTGTGCGCAAAGATCTTGTTGTCTAATAATCGTCCATATAACAAAATGCATACCACAGACATTGACCAACGATAGTCCAGGTCATGTCATTACTATTAACCTTACTTTAGGCGTACAGAAATGTGGAACCACAGATTTACACGCACGGCTTGTCGCCCACCCTCTGATTGTGCCGCCCAGGGAAAAAGAACCACAGTTTCTCTCCAGGGGCGCCTTCAGGGCGAAGTGCCAACAGGGCCGCATTCATAACAGTCAGTGTTTTTTTTTCTAACATTAGAGTTAAGGTTTCTCTAACATTAGAGTTAAGGTTTCTCTAACATTAGAGTTAACGTTTCTCTAACATTAGAGTTAAGGTTTCTCTAACATTAGAGTTAAGGTTTCTCTAACATTAGAGTTAAGGTTTCTCTAGCATTAGAGTTAAGGTTTCTCTAACATTAGAGTTAAAGTTTCTCTAACATTAGAGTTAAGGTTTCTCTAACATTAAAACTGATTTTTCTCTCACATTTAAATTTTCGTGTTTTTTTTCTAATATTAGAGTTTAGGTTTCTCTAACATTAGAATTGATTTTTCTTTAACATTAAAGTTTTCGGTTTTTCTATTATTAGAGTTTAGGTTTCTCTAACATTAGAGTTGATTTTTCTTTTATATTAAAGTTTTCGGTGTTTCTATTATTAGAGTTTAGGTTTCTCTAACATTAGAGTTGAGGTTTCTCTAACATTAGAATTGGTTTTTCTTTAACATTAAAGTTTTCTGTTTTTCTATTATTAGAGTTTAGGTTACTCTAACATTTAGTTGAGGTTTCTCTAACATTAGAATTGATTTTTCTCTAACATTAAAATTTTCGGGTTTTCTAATATTAAAGTTTAGGGTTCTCTAACATTAAAGTTTAAGTTTCCTGAGTTGATGTTTTTCTAGCATTAGAGTTGGGGTTTCTCTAACATCAGAGTTGAGGTTTTTCTAACATTAGAGTTGATGTTTCCCTAAAATTAAAGTTAAGGTTTTTTTTATTAAGAAAGTTTAGTGGGGTTATTTTTAGACAACGTCTGGATTTACTCTCTTCCGCATTGATGCTGTGTCTGATTACGGCGGGCTTTTCTATTGCATGTTTCCAATTCTCAGGCTTTCAGATACAATGTCAGCATTTTTTTGAAGGGCTTGGAGCTAGTCTCGATTTCTCTGCATTAATACCCCTTCTAAAAATGTTTTATTTTAGATCGTTTCTTCCCAACTCAAACTTCAATAATGTTTCTGTCTGAGTGGGGAAGAGGGGTCGGGGGTGGGGAGGGGGGGGGACAATGTTGTCGGGCTGAGGTATGTGTTATCTTAATTTATTATTATTAAGTTTACTTCTTATAAAGTATTTATTATTGTGTGGTCGACAACTGATTATATGATTTTACTCAAATAATGAAAATATTGAGTCACTTCAAACACGTTTAAACGTTTTCCAAGGGGAATCTGAAGGAAATATGACGTCACTGATTTCACGAAATAAAATTCCCGATAACCGTGCTAAATGAGATTCGTAAAACTATTGCAAGTGCGTTTGGTGCGTAACATTTTATTTTGTTTTCCTGAAATAGTTGGTGTAATTGATCTGCGATCTGCAATCTGGTGAGACATAAGAACATGAATATAAAATAAAATAATAAAAAATTTATATATAGAATTTATTCAAAAACTTTTATTTTTGTGTGTTGTTTAATTGTCTCAGTTTTTTTGGTTCTTTTTTGATAACCTGATTTTATCCACATTTTTATCCACAGCCACAGCAAGCTGTATCATCCATCAGTTTGCAGAGCTTTACTTTCAGAGTGCCTCCATAGACATACGTAACAACTTCAAATTGTCGGAAGAGAACGACCAAGGTAAACCAAATAATGGACTTTAACACTTATTGTGTAGTGCGACGTCGATATACGACACTTTCATTGGCATGCTTTGCAGTTTTGAAAAAGAATACTCTCCGAGGAGCGGTAGATTTGTAAGCACGGTCAACATCGTTTGTATGCTATACTTCAGGGCTTAGTTAGGACCCAAAAAAAAAATCAGATTCAATAGATTTAAGATTAGTTTCAAAAGAGCAACAAGAACCACAACACAATAGTGAACGCTTTATTTAATCTCTATTTAGACAATTGATGCAATATTTAGAACAGTGCTTCTCCACCTTAGTAAGGCCGCGACCCTTTACCATTAGTGCATCGTGTTGTGGTGACCACCAAACATTAAAAAAATGTTTTGCTACTTCATAAATATGTGTTTACAATGTTCTTAGTCGATCCCTGTGTAAGGGTCGTACGCTTCAGAAATGACCTGACCGAACGCCTCTAGGTCAGAGACCCACACCACCGAGGTGACTCGGCAAGGTGTCACACGGGATCTTGCCTATACGCGGCTTGGAAAACCAGTAGGGAGGTTCCCTCCTGAAGTCAAAAGATCCCGGCCAAATGCATGACTTCAAACGCAACGGAAGAAGCGCACTAACATGATTACTGGTCGCCGATAATGGATATGAGATTTGGCTGGCAACAAAACCCTGGCCGAGGATTTTAAGTACGCGCCCCTGGGAAAGCCACTCCTAGGCGACCCTTTCGTCCCCCCATGCTACGTCTAAACCGAAAAACTCCCTGGGCGGTTGGGGAAGGGAACGCAACATCCTTCTCCCGGAGAGGAAGTAAAGCCGTTCTGAATCCACGGAGATTGGACTGGCAACACTCTGAAAGGAGTGTGTACAGTCGACAGAACATCCCCCAAGCTCGAGGGGGGAGATCTCTGAGACTCTTCCGCACGGTGGGTCGGTCCCGTGTGGGGGTGTGCCGGAGGGGGTTTTAAAAGCTCACACTCGATGACCCACCGACAGAGCCGTAGTGAGGAAGGGCAGGGGTGGACAGATTTCCCCGGGCGCCGGCTAGTTAGGGGCGCCAAAATGTGCTTTGATATTATTTTATTGATGAAAATAATGGGTTTGAGAGTTTAAAAAAAGAGAAAGGGGTGCTTTAAAATGGATATTTTCCCCGTGCGCGAATCTTGTCCCCGGCGCCAAACAACCTCGCTACGCCTCTGCCCATGGACGCAAACTCCAAATTGATTTATTGAGTAAGGGTCGGTCGAAAACCCCCCCCCCCCCCCGGGGCCGCGAACAATAAGTTGCGAACCGCAGGTCTAGAATGAGTAAACAAATGTAATTTATTATCGTTTCATTTGAACTCTGAGCAAACATTTTTAAAAAGACATTGACCTTCTCTGTAACTGGTACAGCTGCAATAATGTCGTCATATGATGCTATGGTCCGCTCCTTTAAGAACAAGTTCAAGGATGAATGGAAGGTCATCAAAAAGGATGCGGCCCGCAAAACTGAGCACCCAATAATAGCATGTAGGTAGCAACTTATTATCGCCTATAGGGTAGCAACTAATAAAAGCAAATAGGCGTATCAATTATGAATAGCATCTATGTAAGACAATGATATCTCGTTAGTAGCAAACAATGATACCAAAAGCTTAGCAGTATGATAGCTTGTATGTAGCAACTAGTAATAGTATTAGGTATCAACTCATAATAGCATTTAGGTAGCAATTAATACTAGTATTAGGTAGCATCTTAAAATAGCATTTAGATAGCACCAAATAATAGTATTTAGGTTTCAATTACAATAGAATGTAGACATATTCTTTTAGAGTCTTTAAAAAAAGATATTATTTTTAGGAAAAATAAATATGTTTCCAATAACCCATTAAACTAATAATTTCTAAAAATAAAATCAGTTTTAACAAATTGCCCTTAAAAAAAAATAATATAACCCCCCCCCCCCCCCCCCCCCCCAAAAAAAAAAAAAAACACCAATAAAGAAAACGTAGATTAATGCTGGACAGCATTAGGAATGAAACTGGTTGAAGTAACTGTTAACAAACGGTTAATTACAATACTGCTGTCTGATCAATGAAGCTCTATACATTTGTTCCCAACTGTCCAAAGCAAATATCCTTAACAAATCCATAGAAGCTGTTCGGATACCGCGCTTATATAAAAACACTTATAATAATAAAAATACTTTTTATGTATACCCATAGATTATAAATATATTTTTTTGATGTATCAAAAGTGGACAGCAGCGCGTCATATTCATGGGACAATAACTACTGGGAACTGGTCACCGAGAACACCGGTTGTACTGAACCCGCATATTTAACCTCCGACCTTCTGGCCAAAGTTAATCCCAAGGCGAAGATTATGATGCTAATGAGAGAACCCGTGTCAAGGTTGGTTCCAGGGGTGGGGGATGATAGCTTAAACTTATTCTGCCCTTGCCCATCTGGTTATTTTCAATTTGGTGATTTGCCATTTGGTTATTTGCCATTTGGTTATTTGTAATTCGTTATTTGCCAATTTGTTATTGGCCATTTGGTTATTATTCCATGTGGTTATTGCCCATTTGGTTATTTGCCATTTGGTTATTGGCTATTTTTCGTAAAATATCTTAAACTGCTAACACTTTTATAAGGTTTTGTTCAGCACAGCAGCACTCGCTAAATATGTGTTATTTTAACAGGGCATTCTCTGACTACTTGTACTTTCAATGGGTAATTTCCAAGGAGCCAAGCTTGGAACAGTTTCACAACTGGACAGTCAACTTCATTACAAAGTTTGAAAGCTGTAGGCGGCACAATTCTCTTCGGTACTGCACCTATGTTGATGTGCGCTTTCGAGAAGGGGTCTTCGTAAGTCAAAGGTTAATAATATACGTATGGCTTTACTATAGGATGACCAAATCTCGAACTGGAAAAAATGGGACACATCCAAGGAGGGTTGGTGGGGGGGGGGGGCCCTTCCAGCTTAAGAGAGGTCCGGGGCCCTACGCCGGACATTGTTTATTGAAATATGCTCATTTTAACTATTTTGAGACTTAGAAATCATTTTTTATATTTACCTTCGTTTTTGTAATTGAACTAAACTCCGAGGCTTATCATAAATGAAAACAATAATTTTGTAGTGAATACTTATTTATTATACATATAAGATCTATGGCATGGACACAGTCGTTTACGCGGCATCGGCAGAGTGGTGGAGGAGGAACATTGCAATCGTCACGCGAGCCCACGTCACTACTGCCACTAGCAACACATCTAGCCAAAATATTACTTGAATTTATATTATAAATAAGAAATTTTTGTGATTTGAAATAGTGTTTGGCTTTAGAAACGGGACATTTAGGCGTCACGAAAGACTTTTTCGGGACACCGGGTACGATCGTGAAAAAAAAGGACAATGTCGTTGTTACGGGAAGTTTTGTCACCCTACTTGACTTGCGCACTTAATGATATATTATGTTATCTTGAAAGTATGCAATGCTGCCCAACAATCTCTCCCAAGCAAAGACACCTATAAAGAGCGAACAAAATTTAGTAATGAAAGACAATCCTTTGAATTGTTATTACCAATCTATTTCCATATATGTTGACTTAATAAATAAATATATCATAATCACAACATTTATCTTCGCAATTTCAAAACAAAACCTAAAGATGGTTTGGCTTCTAATTATATGGAATTTGTATACAACTTTCACAAATTAAGCTCAACCTTTTCGTCCCCCATCACATCTGGTCACAACTCTAGTGTGAAACTACTTGCCGAAATTGTCCCCTTATAAATATAAGATGGTACATATTAATATGTTGTGAATTGCACCCCCACAACCCCCCCCCCCCCCCCCCCNGCCTGGCCCGAGACATTTTTATTGCATTTTGTGATTGTAACCATAAGTTCAGCGACAACTGGGCTTTTGGCTAGCATTATTTCTTAGCTACCCGATGTTAATTAAGGCTGGACCGGTCCCACAGCTATGAAATTGCCTAATAAATATAATTAAAATAGAAAGAATATTGTTTTAAAGTTTTATGTTGATTTAAAGCCAGATTCTTCACCTGCCACAGGACAGAGCTCGCCTTGAGCTTGGTCTCTATCACGTGCACATCACCGAGTGGTTCAAGAGATTTCCGAGAGACCAGTTCTTATTTCTTCGCTCCGAGACCTACAGTTCTGATCCTGTTTCAACCCTGAGGCGCGTCTACGATTTCCTTGGTGTGGGTAGGTGGCTTAAGTCATTGTCTCTTATCGTTCTGTATAGAGATGTATTGGGGTCAAGGTAACATTCCTGGGTAGTGGGTAAGTTGCTTGTGTATCTTCCTGCAATCGTTCTGTATAAAGATGTTGCGTTGCCAAGATAATATTTTTAAATGTGGTTAAGTTGTTTTTTAACTCCATTTCCTCTGTTGGAAATTTTTTTATACATTAACTTGAGGGTTATTACACAAGTTCCAGGGGCAGAGATTACGGTACTGTTGTCTATTTTATAATTTGAAATGAATGTCCTGAAAGAATGTCGTTTTTGTATGGTCTCATCACCCCAGCTCAGCTGAGCCAAGAAGCCATGGACGCTATCACAAACACGACCAGGATCAACCAGACGAGCAGGAAGAAAGATCTTGGCAACATGTGGCCGGAAACCAAGACTTTACTGACCAAATTCTACTCTGAACATATTCAAAAACTGTCCCAACTCCTCGGTGATGACAGTTTTACATGGCGAGACATCTTAGACCATAACCAATCTCATTGATTTTATACATTTAATTTGGAAAACTATATACAAATCATAAAAGCATTTAAATTTGTATTTCATATTTACATCTAAGCATAATATTTAGAGCTATAGTCAGATTGATAACTAGCGTTGTTGTTGTTTTCTGTTATGTATTACTATAAAATGGAGTTCAAACAGCCACATAAGGACATACTGTGGTAAATTTAACAATGATTTATTCAGAGCCAGAGAAGTCTCCCATGATTCCCCATTTAAATATTTTCAAACAGTTTAAATCTGTAAGTAGTGGGATAGCGGTTCGAAGCCCTTGTCCAAAACTATGTTCTTAAAGAAGATGATTCCGTGCAAAAAATGTGTCATTAGTCATAAGGTTCGGCTAACGTTGGATTCTGCCACTTTTATTAAGGGTTTCTCTGGAATTGAGAAGAAGTCATGGTCACTTAGGGGGCGTTAGGAGTTTATTGTCCATTGTGTTGTAGCCAGTAGGGCATTACGCAAGACAAAGGTAGAGCCAAGATATCAACAGTACAGAGACATGGCGGAGGCAAGATAGAGACAGTATAAAGACATGCCGAAGACACTATAGAACCAGAATAATTACATGGCAGAGGTAGTATAGAAACAGTACAGAGACATGGTGTAGGCAGGATTGAGCAGTATAGAGACAAGAGGGTGACCGGATTGAAGCATGGTAGAGGCAGGATAGAGATATTGCAGAGACAGAATAGAGTCAAGATAAATATGGGATTAAGCCAGAACATAGACATAATTTAGACATGTTAAAAGCAGGATAGAGAATTATAAAGAAGTTGTAGAGATAGGTCAGGGACAGGATAGACACATGATAGAGACGGGATTAAGACAGGATAGGGTCTAGATGCAGACAGGATACAGACATAACGGAGGCACTAAAGAGGAAATGAAGTTAACAAAAGAGGGAATTTTAAAAATTTTAAAGCTCAAAATAAAAGCAGTGCATTTAAAGAGTTGTATTAAAACATTCAACATGCATCATGTTGTGTTTATTTCAAATGAAACCTATGCATTTTCGTACTGGATATGACATAACGTGTACTGTCATAGGAGATACTCGGTGTTATGTAGACGACGTGTTTATGTCCAATTTCTTCGTGCTGTGACCTCTAGCAGAGAACAAACAAGCTCAAAACTGCATTTAAGGTGTGGCTTGGCTAAACCATAGTCTTTTCACCTAAAATAATTAATAGTCTGTATCTATAAGATTTTTTTAGAACAATCTGGAGAAAACTGGAAAGAAAAACAATGCGTAAGGCGGTTCCAGATGCATCAGTAGAATAGACTATAAAAATCGGACACGACAGATTTTTGAGAGAGCATTTTTATCACGAGATATTTTACATTACGGGACGACAGGCTAAGAGTTATTTTTAGAGTGTATTATTCTTTATAGAGTTTTGATTACTTATATGTATGTAAATTGCTATTCATAGTTTTATTTGTGCACATTGTGTTATTATCAACTGTGTACCGGTACAGGAAAATCATAACTCTGTAATTTAATGATTTTAATTATATTTCTTTTATTTTGTAATTTATTAGTAACTTAATAAAATGTATTAATTGTAATTAGCCCTGCTTTGAGTGTCATATTTCTTTTGCTATTGTATTTCTCAAATGGTGTCGTCTTTTGTTATGCACTGTTAAGAACGAGCCATAAAATAAAATTAGAAATTAATTTCTCCTTATGGACAGCAGTACGTAACACTCGGTAACATAATAGCTAAAATGAACAAAGAGATAGATCAAACGCCTTACCTCCCCACCTAGCATGTTATGGTGAATGCATGTCACGTTATGGTGAATGCATATCACGTTATGGTGAATGCATGTCACGTTATGGTGAATGCATGTCACCATCAAGCAACAGTGAAAGCTTTGAGAACAACCGTGATTCATGTTGAGCCGGTAGAGTGCACGATGAAAGTTTGATGACAGACCCTCGCAAAAGTGAAAACTATTGAAAAAAATGTCAAAAACATTGCTAACTTTTGTAAGGAACATTTTGTTACATTTATCATCTATTGTTCGGCACTCCACATACTTACATTAAGTTGAAAGAATTTTTTTTATCCAACCTAAAGCAATTACAAGTTGTCAGCTCTCATCACGTTCCTGCGAAGTTTTCGCCGTCAATCTAATTTTCTAGTTGTGTTGATATCAGAATAACGAACACTTAAGATGCCGATGTGCTGTGCCGCCGGTGGTCTGCCTGCAACCTGCTCCTGTGGACGGATTGTGATTGACCCTGACTGCGAGTGAGTCAACTCATTTAATTTGTTAAATCCTGTTAAATCTATCAGATTGTTGATTGGACTTGACTGACATTTGATTGGACTTGACTGACATTTGATTGGACTTGAATGACATTTGATTGGACTTGACTGACATTGACAATGATTTTTTTTAAAAAACGTTTATTTCAATTGCTATATTTATCTCGTACATTTTTGTGGGGTTGTATTTTTTAAAAGGGTTCTCATTGTTTTCTCATTCGGCTTTAGAAAAATACCTATGGGACCTTGTAGTTATGGAATTTGGCTATATGGGTAATATAGGTAATATTTAGTTTATTTGAATTTAAATATTTAAAAAGGTGCACGTTTACTAAAGTGTATTTTTATATTTTTTGCCATCCATGAAGATTATTACATAAACATGTTCGACATATGTTGCTTTCCAACTTTAAAATCTAAGATAATCGCATCATTCATGACTCTAGAAGAAAAGAAACGAAGTTAGTGCCGCAGTTAATGTTGGAGCCACCCGGGGTGGACAAAGTTCATTACCAACCCCCTTTTAAGAAAATAAATCTGAAGTTTGCAAAAAATGCCACCCATGAACATGAAGAAAACAGTGCCGCCCGTGACGTACCTGCCCCCCCCCCTTTTTCTACCAAAGCTTCCCATGTCAATGAGCGGGTAATATTTTTAATTTATTATCGAGTTTTAAAACGTATGANCCGCGTTGCCAGGCGACTGAAGAAACCGGAAGCTTTGGCCATGCTTATGAATGAGTTCGCCCTGAACGAAATCGAGGCTCAAATTTTCTTCCAAATCTTCGACAAGGACCAAAACGA